AGACTCTTGAATGTTGGAATCTTGAGGGTAGGTAGTGGGCTCTATTTCCTCCAGAACACGTTCTTCTAGAGGTGTGTCTTCAACACAGTTAAGGAGACGGTCATTTATTGTCATAGGCAAAACTTCCTCATCCTTCTGTTCTTGAATAAACATAGGTGGTTCTGAGTCAGGTTCCTCAGTTGGTTCCACCTCATGTACGACTATGCTGGTTGAGACTTGGCTGTCAGGTAACATCACCATAGTAGCCCTAGCAAGAGGTGTTATATATGCTCTCGGGTTTCTGTGATGGTGCGGAACTAGGTGAATCTTCTAGAACCGGGACCTTAGGGTTGAATGGTTCATGGTTGGTCTTAGGTTTTAGAGCCTCTTTTTGAGCATTAACTTCCTCCAATTGGTGATCTTGAGGTTGGATGGAGCGTTTAAGCTCAATAGCCTTACAGAGATCATTGACTGATTTATCAGCTTTAGCATTAGCTTCTAGTCTCTCTCTTTGAAAGTCGTTCAACATTTTCTGCATCAATCCTGATCCTTCGCATAATCTCTTTTCGAACTCCTTTTCCTTCCGGGCTGATTCAAGAAGTTTTGCTCTTTCTCGAATTGCCACCTTGTTTGCTTCAATTTGTTCCTCGGCAAACACGGTGTAGTCACGGTAGTAGGGTGGTTCGAACAAGGAGCCTTCAGCGAATAAAACTTCGTCAAAATAGAAAATTTTCTGTTCTAATCTTAAGATCTCTTTGACGAGTGGATCAGATCGATCGTCGTGCATAGGCCCAGATTGGTCATAGTCATCTTGGTCTCCATGGGTTCATAATAATTATCCTCATCAGTTTCTTGGTATGGATAATATCTAAAGTTTCTAGACGGGGTATCATATGGTGGTTCCTCATGGTTAGGATAATAGTAAGACCTATTGTTGACTTGATAACCATCATCGTATGGGTTCTGATGTGGGTGGTAAGGTGGATGGGTTTGGTACGGAGGGCGGTTGGGTGGTTGGTAGTAAGAAGGCGGTCTGTTATAATCACTGGAGTTATCCATAATAGATATTACGTGTGGTTGGTGAAAAAGAAGTGAGAAGATCGTTCTAACCAATCTTCACCCAAGCTAATTAGAAGAAATTAAACTAATGTCGTGTCACTCCCCGGCAATGGCGTCATGTGAAAAAAATGTAAAATTGATAAAAAAAAATGACTTGCCACTACATGACATACCACTCCACTCCCATGCCATACACTAACTGGATTGTTTTTAATTGATTGAAATCTTCCACATCATCGTGTGTCATTTTATTTCTTATTTGCCATTGTGAATGCTCTAATTGCTCGTCTTCATTGTTCGAGCTACCCAATTTAGGCTCTAGGTCTTGGGGATTGGAGATTGGAGTACTCCTTCTTTGTGCCTTGGTTCTTTCCTAGTATCCATTAATGTTTTATTTTTCTAAACACTAATAATTCTATTATAAGTTTTAAAAGTTTTTTAAATAGAATTTGTGTTATTGTAAAATTTGAGCTGAATTATATACATCCTTCGTCCCAATTTAAATTGTTTGTTGTTATTTACGAGTGTTAGACAATCATATTAAGTATTCTCTATTCCTAGTTGTGTTAGGAGTCTCTTCTATATATACTCTATCATGTACTTCATAATTCAAGGAGAAATATTATTTTTCCAATATTTCAACATGGTATCAGAGCCACCGCTCTTGGTGACCTAAAAAAAAGAGTTCTTTGCTCCCGCCGCTGCCGCCGGTAATTCCGGTGACGGCGGCTCCACCCTGTTCACCTTAACTCTATTTTCTTTTCTTTCTTTATCCTCAAATCAACTTCTCCACTCAAATATAAAAAAGAAGAAAAAAATCCTTGTTGAAATCACACAAAAAACTATCAAAGGAGGAACTTATCTCTTGTCATCTCCATGGTTCTTCAAAAAAAACCCCCAATTCCTCACAAATTCTCTCAGATCATCCTATCTTCTCAAAAAAGAAGAAAAAAAATTGTTGTTTCTCTCTAATTCACCATATCAAAATCTAAGACTCAAATTCTTTTTCCATCACAATTCTTAACCCACTTTTTTCTCTCTCAAATCACTCACTCTAATCATCAATCTCCCTTCTTTTTCTCTTCTGTTCAACCAACAAAAATTCAAAGTAAAGCATCACAAAAGCAAAGCCAAGAGGGGAAGTAGTGAAAGAGGAAAGAAGATCTCTACAACTCACCCCTTCAAGAAGGAAATAGGGCATATCCCGGATCCAATAAAAAGACATAGAATGTCAAAGATCTTCAGTCAAACAGGCACTTCAAGTAGCCTTCTCTATTCTTCTTCGACGTCAGCAGCTACAAGCGCACATCAACCTTCTCTCTTCTTCTTCGACGTTAGCAGCTACCAGCGCACATCAATTTCTCTCTTCTTCAACGATGTTTGCAGCTACCAGCACACGTCAGACTTCTCTCTTCTCCAACGACGTCAGCAGTCACCGGCACACGTCAGACTTCTCTCTTCTCAAAATTTCCAGTTTCCGGCTAGTGTCCAAGCTTTCTCTTGCTTCAACTAGAGTTCAGCTTGAGGGGAGATGTTAGACAATCATATTAAGTATTCCTAGTTATTGGTAGAAGAAGTTGTATTTTAGTTAGTTTCCATTCTCTATTCCTAGTTGTGTTAGGAGTCTCTTCTATATATACTCTATCATGTACTTCATAATTCAAGGAGCAATATTATTATTCCAATATTTCAACAACGAGGCTTGACTGAAATTATTTTCAATTTATTTTACTTAAAAATTAGTATAGAATACAAAATTAGTATAGAATACTTAAAAATTAGTATAGAATAAAAAATGAAATTTACATATTAAAAAAAACCGTATTACTCTGTATATAAACTATAGGTGAAATTGATAAACACAGAGTTTGTCACATGCATAACAAAAAAAGATAGGGAGGATGATGGAGGTGGCATATAAGGTGTTCTGATAATTGAGATTGAGAAATACTTCAATACGAGGAGCCTATTTGGGAATAGCATTATTAGCGTTAACGTTTGGCATAAAAATTTAACGGTGCAGATTAGTTTAAAAACGCTAACGCTAAATGGTGTCCGTAGATAGTCTTTTCAAAACGCTAACGTTATTTCTAAACATGCTCGAGTATTAGTTAACCCCATTGGAAACACTTAAAAGGGACATTCAAAGTCAACATATTTTAAATAAAACACACAAAGTAGTACTCCGTAATTATCATTACAAATAAAAAAGTCCGGGGTGAAACAATGTTATAAACATGATCCTACAATGCCAAATTATGGCTTTGTTCCGTTCAACTTATTTTTTCTGATCTAATCTGATTTTTTGTAGTTCTGATGTTTGATCTGATCTGATCTGATTAGATCTGATCTGTTCTGATTGGATCTGATCTTGTCTGATCTAATCTGATTGGATCTAATCTAGTCTAATTTGATTAGATCTGATCTGGTCTAATCTAGTCTGATCTGATTTGATCAAATCTGATCTTGTCTGATCTGATCTAATTAGTGATGATTGATTTAAAATTCAAATCAATAATTTGATTTGACTTTATATAACGTTTGAAAATTGTAATGATATTTCATATTATAATATATTCAATATCTTTTATTTTATGATTATTTATTAATAAAATAAAATTAGTTAATTCATATATCAGAATAATCATTCATATTATAATGTAATAATAATTTTTATTTTATAATTATTTTTTTGTGAAATAAGAATATTGATTTAATATTTTAATAATTAAATCATATATACATTAGAATAAATATTTAATTTATATATATACTTTGAAAAGTAATTAAATTAAAAGAGATAGTAATTTTCTTAAAATATATCATCCTTAAAAAAGATCAAAACTTTAGAAACTCAAATTACAAGTAGCAATAAAAATTTAAAAGTAGAATTAGATTGACATTGTCAATTTATTTTAAAAATAATTTTTCTGACGTCTAATGATTAAAAATTACTTTCTCAGTATTTTATTCAACTTCTTTCTAAAGTTTATTCTTTTTTCATTTTTAAAAATAATAATATTAATAATATTTATAACAATAAGAACAAGAACAATAACAACAACAACAACAATAATAATAATAATAATAATAATAATAATGATAATAATAATAATAATAATAATAATAATAATAATTCTTGATGGGATCTGATCTGGTCTGATCTGATTCGATTGAATCTAATTTGATCTGATTTGATTCGATCTGATCTGGTCTGGTCTGATTTTAATAAAAATAAGAAAAAATAAGAAAAAATAAATTGAACGAAACGGGGCCTATGTATGTCATATCCAAAGATTATTTGAAGCGTCCACTTTGAGTATTAAAGTTGGACTTAGGTGAACACGTCGTTGATGTGACCTTCATCAAGCCTTGAACTAGAGGTAATAGCCCTAGAGTATTATTTAAAGAATTAAGCTAGGGGTACACCAACATGGGGTACCCCAAGTGTTCACCAAAGCCAACACAGACACACACAGACACAAAGTGTCTGTGTTGCACAGACACTTTGTTTCTCTGTGTGTCTGTGTTGGCTTGGGGTACCCCATGTTGGTGTACCCCTAGCATTGCCCTTATTTAAAAGTTATACCTGTATAAACTAAAGGTAATAGCACGAGAGTATTATTTTGATGGATGAGTAACAAAATTAAATGGAGAGAGCTTTTAACGAAAAGAGTAAAACATTACAAAGAATCATGTCCAAATCTTGAGATTTTGAAATACTCCAGTATGAAATAATCAAACAAGATAATATTAGTTAAACCCATCAGTAACAGGGGCATTCAAAGGGAATGAACTTGTAATAAATAGCTTCTCACCAATGAAGACCCGCAGCAACAAAAAAAACACACAAAAAGTACTCCTCCGTCCTTGAATATTTGTCTACTTTTGACTTTTTTGGTTGAAATTGGTAAGCTTTGACCTCAAATTAAATAAAAATGATATTAGATATTCATACAAAAAGAGTTGTATTAGATTTATTATATCAAATATTTTAAAAATATTATTTTATTTAATTAAAATATAATATATATTTTATTTAATTATAGGTCAAATGTTGAAACAGTTGACCGAAAAAAGTCAAAACTGGACAAATACATGGAAACGGAGGTAGTAGTAATTATCATAGCATCCATGATGCATTGACATTGAACGGGACAAACATAACATTTTAAGTGAGCCGCATGGAGCGTAAAATAGGCCCGCCATAGTACTTCTGCCCTTGAGTGAATTTGTTGACGGCATGAGGAATCCCCTTCCCTCTGCAATACCGGCAGTCATCACATGTAGTCTTGATGCCTAAAAAAACAAATCAAATCATAACACACACACACACACATATGAAGAGGACAATGTTCTGTTGTGCGGTAATGTATAGACTAAGAACAAACAAAGTTTAAAAGGTCTCACGATTGGTAATACGAGTAACACTGAGGAAGTGATACTTTTGAAGCTCGTATTGGTAAAATTCAGCAAAAAAGAGTTCTGGCACGGAAGAAGTTTCGGTTGCAGCTTTGAAAGCACAATGAATCCATGTCTTGCATCCACGAAGTAGAAACGCATTGCAGTTAATGACTTCCACAAGCTTATAATGTGTAGACTGCAAGAGCCAAGAAACCATACCTACTTCGATAAGTGGGCAATATAAGATGCGAAACAAAAAAGGGAAAAAAAGAAGAGAGCACAATTTAAAAAGACAAAGTTTTGCAAATGATCATGCTTGGTACATGTCTCCGGTTGAAGCGAGCAAGAGGAGCCAATGCCCATCGCAAGTGCAGGTTCCTGTGTTGTAGTTCTTTTTGAGTGAGCCCGCTTGTCTTCTCCCAAGGGTTTGGGTCATTTTGCCTGGTCACCAAAACAAAGATCCAACTCCATATTTGGACATCATCCAATTAAGAAAGTGAAAGTCCATAATTATAACTTAAGAGAGGCATGTCACCCCACTACATCACAAATTAAGATTTGGAAACTCTGTGTGTGTGTGGAATGAAAAGATGGCAAAGTGATTAGAAACAATGGTTTAGGGACATTACTCTCTTCTCTTTTTGAGGTATGTAGGTTCAGCAGTTGGCCCTTGATCAAGAACTGGCATATAAACTAAATTGGGGAAAGTGTGTATTTGCACTCCACAGTTATGCTTAGGCTTCTTCTGCAATACAGGTGGTTTCACTTGAACCTTTGGACGTAGAAGTGACATGTACATTTTTTTATCTTCATCAGTAACTTTGGTTAGCGGATGTAGCAACCCCTCCAGAAGCTCCTTCTCTTCTTCGTCTGATAAATTGCTGGCCACAAAAAGAGGACAGAAAGTTGTATTTATATGTAATTTTAAAGAAAAAACATAGGCTTTGCGCAAAATCAAACAAAGCTAGGTATGAAAAACGAGTTTCAAGACAAAACCCTAGCTCTATCATGCAATGGATGAACACACTAAAGGTGAGACACGCAATAAATTACAATTTTAAATTGGAAAAAGAAAATAGAATTTTAAATTGGAAAACGAAAGTCAGATCGATTACCGGGACCGAGGCCCGCTTTCCAGGGTAGGAGGCATACACTTCCGCTTCGCACCAGAAACATTCACCATGCCTTCAGGTAGATTGGAAATCATTAGAGAATTGCTTTTACAAGGGATTATAGGAGTTATAAAACTTGAATCGCATTATTGGAGGATGGTAACAAAAGTTAATCTTATACTCCCCTAAATAAACTTCCATTTTTTATTTTTTGAGGATTTAAGGGAGAGATATTTTGGTGTTGACTTTCCAAAAATACCCTTGATGTGATGTGTAAAAGTAAGATGTGATAGGTAGATTATTAGTAAAAAGGTATTGATGGTGTAAATTATCGACCAGTATATCGTTTTTAGGCCAGCAAAAACGATAAACTAGTCTAAAAATAGACCAAAATATAAACACGAGGATTTTTACGTGGAAACCCAAATCGGGAGAAAACCACGGGCCTTTTTTGGTGGTACCTTGCCAACGGGGAATTTTTATTAATATCGGGGGTGTATACACGATACATGATTTAGGCATAAAAGCCATTAATGGAAGCTATGGAAGTTTGAAGCTTCTTTAAAGAAATAAACTACCAAATTTCTAGAGAGAGAGAGAGAGGAAGTTGGCAGGGGAGAGTGTTTTGATTCAGGGCCGTCTCCGAGAAATTAGGGGCCCTGGACGATACAGAAAAAAAAGGTTATTGTGTCATAATGAAATAACATTTATGAATTAATTTATTTAACAATAAATAATATTAAAAGAATAAAAATAATAAAATGTGAAATTCATAGTCTTATAAATTTATAAGTGCATACTTTGATAGCCAACTAAGAATTTGTGAAGTTCTTGTAGCATTCTTGAGAGCATTATAGTAATAAAAATAGTAAAATGTCAAATTCATAACTTCAAATAATAATCAAATCCATACACAAAATTATATTAGTAATCTTAAATCAAATAAATTCTAAATACAATGCAATCTAATTTTTAATCCTCCCACGTTAGTGTTCCTTTTTTAGAGTTTATTAAATAAATAAATACATATACATATATTTTATATATAAATAAATGGGGCCCCCTCTAAAAATGAGCCCTGTACATAGGACCAACCTGCCCATGGGTATAGCCGGCCCTGTTTTGATTGGCCTCCTCAACTATTAGGGCAAACCCTCTTCAATACATGTTCCTATGCCCATTCCAATCTTGTCTAACTTTGCTAACTCCCCCTTCTCAACCCGTATCTTTTTCGTTCTGGAAACACGTCTTCCTATTCCATCTTTTCTCGAATCTCCTTTAACGGAAGAAATAGAGAAGCGAATACCCAAACCTAGTTCACTCGCTTAGTCTCTTTGCATCCATGGCTGAATGGTTAAAGCGCCCAAATTCGTAGGTTCGATTCCTGCTGGATGCGTCGTCAAGAAGGAATTCCGAAGTGACTCGACCAACGTACGAAGTCGCTAGAGAATTCGTTGAACTATGTGAAACGAAATGAGTTTCACTATTCGTTGTTCGTTGAATTTCTAACTACGTTCAACGAAATTCGTTGTCGGAGGAGGGGAAGCATATTCGGGGAATATTCTCTTATTCCCCCATTTTATTAAACATGCCAGGTTTGACTGTTCTTTGTAAAATAATTGGGAAATGTGGGCCGAGCCACGTATTATTTCCCATCAATAAGTCCTCCACTTTTTTAAGTTGTGAGAATCATCAACTTGAAAAAGTAAACAAGTCCTCCGAGTGCTATCTTCGATCTTCATACTTTGGATTCTTGACCAGTTGATATTGTTGCTAGTCCTCCGAGTCTTCATTAATTCTCTAATTTTGTGAATCAGAAGTTTTTCCTGCAAAAATAATATGTACAACATTTTTTTTGACCGGCCTATGCCGTGCTCAAATAATTATTATCTTTACCGAGGAGCTCGGTGTTAGGGTGATTAAACTTCGCGTGAACAATTATCGTAACAAGAGGGATGTCAGTTCGATTAAGCAACGATGCTTCGAGTAGTTATACGACACCGGAGTTAGTACGATGAAGCGGCGGTGCTTCAAGTAGTTATTTTGTCGAGACCGATGTTAATACGAGTCAAGCAAACAATGTGTGACCATATTAGTATACAGACGACAACGACGTTAGTTAATAAGAATTGAATCCGATGCGGTAGTTTTGTTGAAGATCAGCGTCAGCTCGGCTGACTGATGTAAATATCTTTATGCCTCGCGGAGACCATCTTCGATCAAAGTGCCTCAGATTGAGGGCTTAAATGAATCGGGCATCTCCGATATGAGCTTTGCTCACCTTTTTGCTGAAATCGATGTGCAATCGGTGTACCCAATTCGATTGGGCTCAAGCTTATTGGAAAATATGTGTGAGACTGGTATGAGACCAGTTTACCAGTTCGACTGGGTCACATATTTTCTTTATTATACTGAGCAAGACCGGTGTAGTAACCAGCGTGCCAGGCCAGGCCTGTGTCTCAGTCTTCCAATAAGATAATGCTGCTAGCCGGGCCAGATCAACATTGAAGAATTAACCATGTCGGATGGTTTCGAGCCCTCTCCAAGGCCCAAAATGCACCCTTCTTCCAGGCAGGGGCGGAGGAGAGGGGGGGCTGCCTGGGCAAGTGCCCCCCCGGCGATTTTCTGGCGAAGTACTATTAAGGTACCCCTTCTCCGATGGGAGGCTTGATGTGCCCCCNGCTGTGCTCTGTTTACAGGTCTGTTCAGCGAAGAAGAAGACCAAGAAGTGATTTCCGGAAGAAAAAAATTGAAGCATAAACGGCATCGTTTGGTAGGTTTTTTTATGTTTAGTACTTTGACCAAGCAGTACCTGGTCCCAATTCCTTTTTTTCCGTATCTACTCTTTAAAAAAGTAAAATTAATTTCTAAATTTTCTCATCTTCCCCAATTCCCAATTCCCAATTCCCCATCCTTTGCGGCAAAAAAAAGCTAACGGCGAACCTAGGGACTTTTCTTCTTCTTTTGATCTTTATCTTCTTCAGAGTTTCTCTCCTTCACTTCTCGATTACTTCTTCAATTCTTGTTCTTCACAAGTAAAGAAGTTCTCATTATTCAGGTATATTCAATTTCCAATTATTCAATTTAGAGATTTATTTGTTAATTTTTAAATTTTTGAAAATCGTTAATTTATTTTTTGAGAACTTTAACTTGTTCCCTTGTTCAAGCAGATTCCCAATTTGTTTTAGTGATATTTAAATATTTCTTAAACTTTAATGTAAATTCATTTTTTTATTTTTTTATTTAATTAGGTAATCTTGCAATCTGGGATGGATAAATTTGTTATTAGAGAAAAGAAGAATTTGGCATTTGTAAATGATAAAGGCAAGGAAAAAGAAGCATCTTCTTCTCTAGATAAAGAAAGTGTGATTTCAAATGATGATATTATTGCTGATCCGGGATTAAGAAAACCAATCAATAGTTATCCCTTGGAAATTAGAGATGTCATAAGGAGAAGATACTTAGCAAAAGGTCCTTGCCAACCATTGGTGCATAACTTTGCACAAACTTTGACGGGCAAAAAAAAGGTGGTTTCAAAGTGTTTGGTTTGATAAGTTTAAGTGGTTAGAGTATAGTGTCACCAAGGATAAAGCATATTGTTTGCATTGTTATTTGTTTGCAAATACAAATAAAAATAGATCAAATGCTTTTACCCAAGTTGGGTTTAGCAATTGGAAAGATGGTCCAAAAGCATTTATTGACCATGAAGGAACCAATGAAAGTTCCCATGCTTATTGTAGAATTAAAGTTCAACAATATCTTAATCAAAGAGAGAACATCGATTATGTTTTATCGACTAACACTATTGTGATTGAAGATGATTATCGTACTCGGTTAGCTACAGTTGTAAAAGTGGCTCGATACCTTCTAGGGGAAGGTTTAGCATTTAGAGGGCATGAATATTACCTGTTGGGACATCTTCAGTTGAAAGAAGTTTTTCTGCGATGAATATTGTCAAGACTGATTTACGCAATCGTTTGGGAGATGAGATGTTATCGGATTGTCTATTGTGCTACTTTGAGAAAGAAATTTTTATGAGCATTGATGATTAAGTTATTATGCAACGCTTTCAAAAGTTGGCATCTCGGAAGAATTTTCTACGGCCTAAAACAACTCTTACTCCTTTGTGCAAATAAAAGGTATGTTTACTATTATCAATTTTTTTGTTGTTTTTTAGATAAATTTGTGCCCCCCCATAAACTTTTCCCTGCCTCCGCCACTGCTTCCAAGGCCCCCTCTTCCGGGTATTTAAGTCTTTTAATGGCCCTTTGATATTTACTATCCCGGGAAGGCCTTAGCTCACCCCCCGTTCAAGTCTTCCCTGAGAAGGGGAAATAGGATGCGCCACGGTGGACGATCCCTCTTCTATTTCTTTTAATGGGCATCTTTTAGTCCCCAATCAGTTTGCCAATCTCGGCTGATTTCCCGATACCGGTCAAACCTCATGGGCCCGTGTAAGTACGGTTCGAACCTTCTTCCAGGTCCAGCCCTCTTGCAGGCATACCCTCTTCTGGGCCCCTCTTCCGGGTTTATTATTTTTTTATTTTATACTGAGCAAGACCGGTGTAGTAACCGGTGTGCCAGGTCCGGGCATGTGTCCCAGTCTTCCTTTAGTTCCCGTCGTAGTCCTCAAACAAGATCTCATTACTGATCAGATTGTAATGAAGTCCCATTATCCTTTGTTCCCAGCCTCATGATAAAAATCTTTCACATGGATTGAGGGGAAAAGCCTTCTCAAATAATGGTGTTCCCCACCTTTACTACGGAGTATAATTTGTGGTTGAAAAAGATGTGAGATCCCTACCACTTTAGCTATCTTTGAATTTTGATTTCTCGCCCTTTCTTTTGTCCAATTGCTCATGGAGGACTGTGAATGGAATATGCCCACCCAACAATTTGAAATTATTGGGCCCCAATGATAATAAATGAGTGAATCAACCCACGTGACCCACTAACTTTGTTTCTGGACCAAAGCTAATGTTTTATTTTATTGCCCAGCAACTATCCGTATCTCTTTCTTTTCTCTTGTTTAAGATGACCAAGTAGGGCCACATCTTACTTTCTTTTCTTTGTCCACTAGCTCTGCATCTCTGCTCTCCCTTCTTTCCCCACTTTCTTCTGCAGCTCACGCGTCTCCTTTTTTTTGTAGAGACCACACATAGACCCCTTTTCCAAGTGGGGCACAAGAACGGACGAATCTAGTAGTGTTGAAGAAGGTGACGCGTAGTGATGTGAGGCATGGTGCGGAAGCCAAAGGCGGCGAATTGCTCGA